TACAGAAAAGCCAACTAAGACTTTGATAAAGAAATTGTGTTGCATCTAGATCAAATGGGAAAAAATTATCATTTTTAAAAATAAATTTTTGAATTCCTGAATATGGGATGCCTTTTCATTTTCTTAGATATTCTTTACATTTTTTAATGATGTTTTTATTTTCTAATGTACAGATCTTCCACCCCATTGTTAAATTTATACTAATATTTTATTCTTTTGCATGATATTATTAGTGAAATTATATTCTTGATTTCATTTTTAGAATCATTGTTAGTGCACAGAAGTATAATTGTTGTTTGTATAGAGATCAGCTGCCCTCGACATTACTGAACTTGGTCATTATTTCATATAGTATTTTAATGAATTTGTTAAGATTTTGTAAACAGAAGTGGTGTTTTTACCAATAGAAGTAATTTTACTTCTTTCCAGTCAGGGTGCCTTTTATTTCTTTATCATTCCTATCAAACCTTATTATAACCTCCAGTACAGTGCTGTAGGCAGGCATCTTATCTTGTTCCCAACCTTAAGGGAAAAGCAGTCAGTCTTGACAGTTAACTATTCCATTTATTTTTCATAGATGTTTTTGAATAGATTGAGGAAGTAACCTTTGCTTGCTACTTGGTTGAATGTTTTTAATCAGATCATATGATTGTGTCCTTCCTTTTACTAATAAGGTGTTGCATTGTTTTGTGTCTAGATATGAAGAACCCTAGAATAAATCCCACTTCGCTGTGGTGCATAATTTTTTTATAGTTTATGTACTGTAAAACAATTTAGGTATTCCAGAAACCACACAAAATTGAGTCTGTTTTAAATGAAAACAGTCATAAAAATCAATAATTGAAAGTTGCAAACTTCATCTGTTTCTTGATGACTTCTAAGTTGCCAGACCAGATTCCTAGTAGTAGCATTCTATTAATCTAAAAGTATCATTTAAAATACTGAACATATAACCTGGTTGATAATATAGGCTCATTTTAGGGCAAAAATATTTGTGTGATTTTCATTTACTCCGTTTTTATAACCCTGTTACATGATCTCAAATATCATTAATAAATGCTTTAACATCTTGAAATTATATAATTTAGTCATTCAAGATGGTTTACTTAAAAAATAAAAAATAAATGATGTTGTTTCCCTTATAATTATTGCATATTCACAAATACTAAAATCATAATAAAATAGTTACATGTTTTGAAAATATTTTGAATATTTGATTCATGACAAGATTATCACATTGCTTTATAGTTTGGAAAAATAAACCTTCAAGAGGTTAGATAAATTTTCAGAGACACATGCCTTCCTGTCCTGGGACCATTGATTAAACTCTATCTCAACGGGGCCCGGGATTTAGCTCAGTGGTTCCGCCGCCTACCCCTCAAGCGCCAGGACCCGAATTTGATCCCCAGTACCAAAAAAAAAAAAATTCTATCTCCATGACAGTGGAATATGGTTCTGATAAAATGACTGATATAAGTTGGGTATTTCTGTTTTTATTTTCCTCTTTTTTATTGTTGATTTGAATTTAGAGATTATAAAATAAATTTATAAGCTATTATTTCTTATACTAAGTGTCCTTGTACAATGTAGTTTCTTAGTATCCCAGTACAAGGCAGCACGTGCTTTGCTAAGTGCCAGCAGTTAGGTATTTAATAAATTTTAGTGCCATTTGAAATGTTTCCTGTAAAGTACTTAAGCCAGAAGAATGTTGCATTACAATTATATTTTAAGTTAACCATGATGGATTACAGAACTATCTAGGGACTATATAATTGTCTATCTCAATAAAACCAAGCCCAGGATCACCATAGGCTACATATACACTGATGTGTGTGTGTGTGTGTGTGTGTGTGTGTGCATGCACATATGTGACTGCATATGTGCACACATGCGTATATTCACCAGACTGAATTAATAGTATAAATATTTTAGGTGATTTAATTACTGTGGCTCCAAAATAACTGTTTCACATTTTTACACATCAGCTCTCTCCATATTTTGAAATCTCATCAATAAAAGTTTACTTTTTAGATGTTCACTGATTCAGTCACTGGCTGTTAACTGGCACAGTCATATTGTCATTTGAGTCTGACATTGTTGTAGACCTATGAATCTGGTCTTGAAAGAGGTGATTACAATGAAATTACTTGATATTCCTGCATAAGTTTTCTATTTGAAATCTTATTTAACTTTATTTGTGATGTTTATTTGTTTTCACCTGAGTATTCTGAAATTACTTTGATTTCACACTGAATAATTTTCTTTCTTCTTTTTTTAAAGCATTAAAAGAAGTAGATAATATCAAGGACACAAGGAGTGGGAGAGATTGGACTGGGAGGCTGACCAGGTCAGGAAATTTGCATTATCATTTGCTGATCATTATTTTGCTGCTCACTTTACAGTTCTCAAATCTTCTGTAAATTTATTTCTTAAATGTGCTTTTTGGGGGGATGTCTTCAGATGTCCAAATTATGAAAAATGTTTTTATATCAGAAACCTAGCCTTTGGGTATCCTCTTTTTAGGATTTGAAGATGCAAAGTAATTTAAACCAATTTTCAAAAGTAGAAGAAAAATTTTACCTAATAAGATAGTACATACTCACTGTGATTTCTGTTCCTTATGTATAATGTTTTAAAACATGAACTTTTTGATGGCTTTCCAAGAATCAAATCCTTAAAACATGTAAAATGTTAATAATTGTGCAGTTGTAATGGGAGAGCCCTCGGGACATAAAAGTCAAGTTTTCTTTCTTTTCTGCTGTATACTCGACACTCATGTCTATCTCTAAAAAGCTCTTGACCCTTCGCAGAGTCAGTCTATTTGTTAACAATAATTTTCACTGCTAAATGTTGGCCTCATGTATAAAATGAAGGTTAATTAAAGGAGACAATTTCTATGCACATGGAAGGATCCAGAGTTTGCTAGGAGCAAGTCATTGTGGAGGATTTGCCATTGCTCACTGTCCTCTGTAAGATGGAACTGTGCTGGCCTTCACCCTGACTGCTGCTGGGAGTGTGGCTGGTGGTTTTGTTTTCATCTGCTGTTCTTCTCAGCTGTCTTAAATGGAGATTACAACTCTTACTATTATGGTTTGGGTATTCATAGAAGACTCAGGGGTCTTCTCCTCTTTGATATATGCCAGACTTCCTGGTTCTGCAACTTCAGTGGGGTTTGTCTTAGCACCTCTCTATCCACATCTCTGATAGAGCAACTACCTGTTGGGTTTTCAGATTTCATCCCACAGAGAAATCAATGCCTTTGTCTTCCACTCTGCTCAGATCTCTTCAAGTAAAATGACTCAAGGTTTAACTCTTCTGATAGATGCTTCAGGGATTTTGTTACTTCCTAGCATAAGCATTAGGCATTAGACAAAGTTTTATTGGCACATAGCTTCTAGAGAACATTATGTCCAGTTAACGGAAAGACAACTTCAAATATATCTTGATGCAGTATGTATGCTCAAGAATTTCCTTAGCTTAATTAGGAAAAAGTTCTACTTTGGATTGTGCTGATACCTTTAAGATTTTTTTCTAGTGTTATTTCTCTGGAGAAGTTTGCTAATATTAAAAAGATGATTATCCATTCATTGACTCCTTTATTCATGCATATAAGGAAAGTTCTATTCCCTAGAAATTTAATTCCAGTGCAAGACAACATAAAGTGAAGATTTTAATATATATGTCAGTGGGGATAAATACTGAGAAAGAAAATAAAGCAGGGTAAATACAGAATGATGGGATGCTGTTTCCAATTCACTGTCTAGAGAAGGCTTCTCTTATAAGGAGAGGATGTAACAGATATGAAGGGAGTGAGAGAGGAAACCATTTAGATATGTGAAGGAAGAGAGGTACATTCAGTGGGAAGAGCAAATGTGAGGAGTACTGAGGAAATGGCAAGAATAGCCATGGCAGGAAAAGGGTACGAAGCAGGCAAGTAAAGGAGGAGTCTGGGCTCAATGATGGGCTCGTTGCAGGGAGCCTGGAAGACTATGGTGGGACACTGACTATTATTCCATGTGAGATTCCTAAGTGGAATTTAGTATGTGAGAGTCATGATATGACTCATATGTTTAAAGCATCATTCTCAGTTTGGGTTGTGTACAGCATTTTAAAAATGTTCTTTATTGATAGAATATAAATTATGAATACACATAGATTTAAACTAATAATGATCAGGCAAACATTGTATAATAAAATTATTGACTTGTTATTGTATTCAAGGAGCTAATGTTGGATAGTGTAGCTTTCCCTTCTATTTCTCCTGTTCTTTATTTGCAAATTCTTTAGATTTCAAATCATGTTATCTGGCTTTGTATCATAACTTGTTACATAAGAATGCTCTTAATGAAAATGATATCTAATATTTACAACTTGCATGCATCTGATCTGTTGCTTTGCACAACCCGATTTACCATTTGTTTGGTGTTTCTAATTTCAAGCAGGTTTGTATAAGTCCAAAAATAAGTCTAGAATTTTCTCTTCTTTTTGCAAGAAAGGGTGTTTGAAAATCATGTAGTGGTTTTATTATAATTATCACATGATCAATAAGAGTACTTGCAAGGAAAAAAACATGGGATTGTTATAAATAGTATGAATTATTAGAAAGGATGAATCTTGTAAGCAGCTCTGAAACTTACAGCTGAATTATCATACAGTACTAGATCCTTAACCTATGTTTCATAGAAAATGTACCAAATGTGGGGTATTTTAAAATTTTTCTTTATATGTCTTAAGCTATTATGTCCATAGATAATTAATATAAGTTGGTTGAATATGGAGTAATCTATGTTACAAGTAGCTGATTATAATACAAGTGAAAAAGATAAAGATATTTCATATAAACAAGAGTAAAATGTACACAATTATTTCTAGAAAAGTTATTAAGGTAAAGAAGATATTACTGAAGATATTACTTAGAAGAAAGGGTTACTTCTGTTATTCTTATCATGATGAATCAAAGCTAGTGAAAAAGGAATTAGGAGGTAGGTTGGTCTGTCTTCTTTTTTTTTTTTTTAAGTTTTTACAGTTTATTAATCCTCTCGTGAAAAACCCGCAGTCACTGCAGACAGGCACTGCAAAATCTTTACTCCTTTGGCTGTTCTCTGATCTCCAGCTCACTTTTTGCCAGCACCAACATTGGCCTTTGCGGTGTCCCTGACTTTCTTCATTCTGTTCTTGCATTCCTTCCGCTGCTTTCTTGATGTCTTTTTCTTCTCATACAGGCCGTGTTTTGCAAGTCTATGTTTGGGTTCATTTTTCTTCGCATAATCCAAAGAATCATAAATCATGACGAAGCCAGTTGTCATGCCACCCCCGAAATGGGTTCTGAATCCAAATACAAAAATGACATCCGGTGTAGTCTTGTACATTTTGGCGAGTTTTTCCCGAATTTCTGTCTTGGGTACTGTTGCTTTCCCGGGATGAAGGACATCAATGACCATTTGTTTCCTTTGAAGTAGTCGGTTGGTCATGAACTTCTGGGTCCGGATAGTTACCGTGTCATTCATGATGGCAACAGATCCTCAGGCAGCCAGGGAAGGAAAAAAAAAAAAGGTTGTTGTGTCTTTTACTAGCAATCTTGTAGATACCAAATAACTTTATCAAACTTAAAAAATAAATTTATTAGACTGTTAAAAACTTAGATAAAAAACTTAGATTTCTATTATTTACTATGCAACAAAAATACCTGTTTATCAATATTTAGTATCATTTTATTTTAATTCTCACTTATTCTAAATATGTCTTTTTTAGTCATCGAAATTTTACTTCTTCCTCCAGTTATGGCTCCTTTCATATACAAATTTCTCCAAAGCCTTCACTTATTTTTTCATTCTCTTCTCTCCTTGGTTTTTTTTTGTTTGTTTGTTTTATTTTTTTTGGTACTGGGGATCGAACTTGGGACCTTGCACTTGCGAGGCAGGTGGTGGAACCACTGAGCTAAATCCCCAGCCCTCTTCTCTCCTTTTGACTTCTCAGTCCTCTCAACCTCTTCTTAATGACCTAGTCTTGGTAAATTTATTGATAAATCCACCATGTCTTAAGGCAGTTTTTAGTCATTATTTTATTTGGTCCTTAGGTTCATTCAACCACATGAGTAACTATCCCACCAAACTCTGTTTTGAAAGACTCTTCCGATTGCTTTTCACCAAGAATGATTCTGTTCTCCTAACATACCTTGAAAAGTCTTGAATGTGCCAAATAAACTTGGTGTGAAGAACTATGTCTAAATCATCATACAAAAAAGCTACAAGGGTATCATTCTTTGATGGTTCACAGAAAAGAAAGAAACTTCATAGATGAGGTGGTATCTGTGAGCTGTCCTTTATATGCATATGATTTTGTTCAGCACAGATAGTGAACACTGGAAACATTGCCAACTATATGTTTAAGGTTCTAATGTCATTTGTTTGCTCTTTGTTTCTCTCTCTCTCTCTCTCTGGCTGGCTTCCTTCCCTCCTTCCTTCCTTCCTTCCTTCCTCCGTCCCTCCCTCCCTCCCTCCCTCCCTCCTTCTCTCTCTCTCTCTCTCTCTTTCTTTCTTTTCTTGTAATGGGGGTTGAACACAAGGCCTTTGCATTGAGTTACATGCCCAGTCCCTGAGCTCCCTTTTATTTTTATTTTGAAACAAACTTTGACTAAGTCTCTACATTTCCTGGGCTGATGAACTGATGATATTCCTGTCTTAGCCTCCCAGAGTGCTGGAATTACAGGTGTGCATCAATGGACCAGGTGATTCTGGTATCATAAGCGTCTTCTTGGGGTTGGATTTGAGTTAGTTTGGATGCAGGTCAAGGTACACAAAAGGGGCACAGTGATTGTCAATGTTATTTGGGCTCAAATGGTAGAGGACTTTGAATATTTATTTTTTCTCCTCCTCCTCCTCCTCCTCCTCC